TCCCACGCTGAGCAAGCCACTCACGAAGCTGCTGGGTCGTCTGGGGACGCTGCTGCTGCTGGGAGCTCTGGCCCGAGCCAGTGCCTCCACTCCGACCTCCGCCGCCACCACTACCACCGCTCCGACCGCCACCGCCACCACCGCCACCACCGCCACCGCCGCCACCGCCGCCGCCGCCGCCGCCGCCGCCGCCGCCGCCGCCGCCGCCACTACTGCCACTGCTTCCTCCGCCGCCCCCGCCTCCACCACCGACCCCACTCCCACCAGCGCTCCCGCCACCGCTCCCTCCAGCACCGCCTCCCCCCCCACCTCCCCCACCTCCTCCCCCCCCAGCGCCACCACCACCACCCTTGCCCCCCTTGCCCTTGCCGGTGCGGCGCCTCCCACCAGGAGCAGAAGCAGCGCCAACAGACTCAGCACCAAGGAAGTCAACAGCAGCAGCAGCAGCGTAGGAGGGAGCGAGGGGAGAGGGAGAACACCCCTCAAAGATGGGGGTGCGAGGAGCGCCACGAGCAGCACCGACAGCTACAATGCTCTTTTCGGCCGCGAGCAGCTGCTCCTCTAGGAGGGCGACTGTGAGCTCAGTGGGACAGCGAGCAAGGAAGTGGTCTCGAACTGAGCGGAGGGTGTCAGGGAGACGGGTGACTATGAAGTGGAGTGTCCAGTACAGTGGAGGGGGGTTCTTAGCGCAGAACTCGGTGGGAAGGGCGGCACGTAGGCGAGCATCACTAGTGCGAAGGTGGGTGATAAGATCGGCGACTGTAGTAAAGGTGGACAGATCGGGGAACAGGTACGGCAGCATGAGGCGGCTAAGCTCGGCTGTGGCAGGCGAGGAGTAGCGAGCAACGACAGCATCGTACAGGGCCTTAGCGGATTTGCAGTCGCCAAAATGCTCGAGCTCAGCTAGCGGCAGGTGACTGCGAATGGCTAGGCGAGCAGCTGCGTCACGAGTCTGCCAGTGGGAACGAACACTAAGCTCGGCTGTGGCAGCAGGAGCAGCGGCAGCACCAGACGCGTAGTCATAGAGGGAGACGTGGTCCGTGCTATTGCTCATAAGATACAACTGCAGGTCGTCGAGCCAGGAAGTGAACTGCACGGGACGGCCCTCAGCATCGAAGGAAAGAACGCGAATAGAGGCCATAGCTCAGGCGTGAGGGCACAGCAGAGCAGCGGCAGCAGCAGAGGGGACGCGCTAGAGCGAAGCTAGCAGCCACAGCAGGAGCAAGCGGCGGTGCACAGGCAGGGAGCAGCAGGCGAGAAGCGCGGCGGGCGGGCTGCGAAGCGGGCAGCGGGGCGGGCGGGCGACGCAGCAAGCGGGCAGTGAGGCAGCGGGCGACGCTGCGAAGCAGGTAGCGGGCGGGCGGGCGGCGCTGCGAGCGGGCAGCGAAGCGGGCGGGCCGCGAAGCGGGCAGCGAGCGGGCGGGCGGGCTGCGAAGCGGGCAGCGGGGCGAGCGGGCTGCGAAGCGGGCGGGCCGCGAAGCGGGCAGCGAGCGGGCGGGCGGGCTGCGAAGCGGGCGGGCCGCGAAGCGGGCAGCGAGCGAGCGGGCTGCGAAGCGGGCGGGCCGCGAAGCGGGCAGCGAGCGGGCGGGCGGGCTGCGAAGCGGGCAGCGGGGCGAGCGGGCTGCGAAGCGGGCGGGCCGCGAAGCGGGCAGCGAGCGGGCGGGCGGGCTGCGAAGCGGGCGGGCCGCGAAGCGGGCAGCGAGCGGGCGGGCGGGCTGCGAAGCGGGCAGCGGGACGAGCGGGCTGCGAGCGGGCGGCTCGGCGGGCGGGCGACACTGCGAGGGGCGCGCGAGGGCGCTAGTGAGGGGCGCGCGAGGGCGCTAGCAAGGGGCGCGCGAGGGCGCTGACGAGGGGCGCGCGAGGGCGCTAACGAGGGTGCGCGCGAGGGCGCTAACGAGGGGCGCGCGAGGGCGCTAACGAGGGCGCACGAGGGCGCTACGAGGCTAGGGCACGGGGTAGCGTGGTAACCGCATGCGAGCGGTGGTGGGCCCTTAAAAAAAACGGTCGGTAGGTCCTAGGGACCTCCTGCTCTGAATACCATCTCAAAATAACTAGGCAAGAATGAATGAACTAGCAGAAGTTTGGGTACAAATATGAAACCCTAGTTGGGGTTGTACCCCATATTGGCTACCCCACTACAGCCTACAAGCATAATACAGTTTAACACACCTCTGCATCACAGCTAGAACTGGAGACTGATGACGCCCAATTCGACCTCCACAAAAGAGCTCCGGTCCCAAGTCTGAAGCAGTAACCCTGTGTAGACCGCAGCGACTCTCGTCATCGAGTAACCTGTGAGTGTAACTGGCTGCTTCCCTCCAAGGACAAGTCCCATGCCTGATGTACTCATCACATGCTTCGCCACCCTCTTAGCCATATACCAACGGGAAGGTCGGTATCTCCGAGGCGCAATAAAGCACGCCACGACGCTAAGAGGGTAAGCTAGGACTGGGCGATGAGTGCAGGTCATCAGGTACATGAGACAACCCACCAACCCAGGATATGGACCAATGGCTCGTCCAAAGATGGAGCCGTGAGCCCATGATCCATAGCAAGAGGGTGAGTTGTATCTTGGAGAATGGGAAGCGAAACCCCATGAGGATCTGCTCGGCCATCTGCGACTGCGTTGGCGTAAGATGTAGTTCTGCCCGATGACAATGACAATGACTCACATCGTTGCTCCTCAGCTGCTGCGACCACTGCGACAGATACAACCAAGATCATACTCAAGGACCCGTCCCTGGTGCTTATCTCCACCAGCGGCAATCGGGAGGAGAGGGTTTGTCTTCGGGACAGCTGCAAGAAGGCTCATGGTTCGTCGTTCGAGCAGGCTGCGCATAATGCGTTGTCCCAGCGGCACCGCCATGGGGCTCCGAAAGGGGGGGAGTCGCTCCGGTTGTTGAAGGGGAATATCAACCTCAAGCACCTGAAAAAGGACTATGGGGTGTAGAAGGGAAGAGGAAGGGGAGTGGCTGCATGTTAGGGTCGCTCGAGTCTGTATTTGTCTTATATGTTAGAGATTAAGGATCGAGTCTACGAAGATTAGGTGCCCAAATAACTCAAAATCGTTGGCTTCAAATTCTGGACAGAAACCGCGACTTCACAAGAAACGTCGTCGGCTAAAATTGCACCGTTAAAATTGTCCCAAAACTTGTATGTTACATAGCCTGTAACCAGGGCTATCTTTCCCAATTTGAATCGTATCAAATGGTGGAGTAAATCTCGAGTTATGATTTTCGGCGCACTAGGGGGTATGCTGCCACAGAAACTTTAACTCAATCACAAGAGTTTCACAAGTTCACAAGTAATACACACAAGAGAGTTGGAGTAGCACTAAACCAGGTAGGAGGGAAGAGGAGGACGAGAGGGAAGGTCCCAAGGAGTCCCCAACCAAAGGAAACCCCATGCCACACAATTCCCCTCTCCATAGGCAACCCCACTTTCACATTTGTCACTTTCCCAACTCATGCCATCCACCTCAACCCACTTGGCCACACTTGCCAACCTGGTTTGGCTTCACCCAACCACATGGCAGCATTCTACAGTGATGGGTTCGAGTTCCCAACCCCCAAAAGTCGATACCCCTTATAAAGTCAACCCCACAACTTCCCATAGACGTTGCAACCGAAGTACAGAAAGCATACGAACTCCAACGTTCGTAACTTTCTTGATATTGCTCCGATCGCGACGATTCTTGGCTCGTCGGAAAGCTCTTGAGCAGAGGAGTCACTTCAGATATCTGCTCAAGCCAAATAACATTCACACACACTCAGAAAATCCAAACCGCGCATATCACCAATTCTTGCACACGCTCACACCACGCATGCAATGCACAAACATTTGATGGGAGGCAGACAGACGTGAATGCATATGGTTGCATCACACAACATTATATAAGCCTGTTACCTGTGTCTCACTTAGCCCGTGGATGCTTGGGGCTTCTCGGCGGTTTCCCAATGAATAAAGCCTCTTACCTGACCATACGCGAGCTCAACGTCAACGGGCTCGGGAGCAGGGGGAAGCAGAAACATCTGAAGGCATGGCTTAAAAAACCACCTCTTCGTCTTAGCTGACACACGCATTGGCGCAGATCATGATTTCTGGAAGAGGCTCAAAGTCCCGCACTGTCACGCCATTGGACCTGCTGGGAAGGCAGGGGGAGTAGCCATTTTAAGTTTTAACAAGTCTCTCGTCTTCACTAACATTGTCGCGCACAGTTCGGGCCGGCTGATTCAAGCTGATGTCCAGTGGGACTCCTTCTGCTGCACGATTCTGGCCGCTTATTTCCCGGCGAAGGCCTGCAGGCGACGACTGTTTTACGCCGGTGTGCTTGCTCCTTTCACGGCGAACTCTGCGGGGAAGAAATTTTTCATTCTGATTGGGGATCTTAACATGGTGGAGGACCCTCTGCTTGACCGGTCGTCCGGAGCGGGCTCGTCGGGCGAAAACGACAGCGTGTTGCAGATTTGCTCGGCACACTGCCTTACCGATGCTTTCCGCTGGATGAACCCGGTGCTGAAGGAGTTCACCTTTCTTTCCAGGTCTGCCAAGACCAGCTCACGTATTGACCGGGCTCTCGTCTCGGTGTCGCTGATGCCGTTGCTCACAGATGCGTCTAGGGTTTTGGGGTTTACGGTTTAGGATGCTGAGGAATCTGCAGTCCTCCCATCGGCTGCGCCGGAGGCGGTCACAGTCTTGTTGCATAAAAAGGGAGCGAAGGACCAGGTGCAGAACTATCGGCCGATCACACTGCTCAACAGCACGTACAAGTTAGTGGCGCGGGTGCTGGCGAACAGAATGCGGAAAGTGCTGCATACTGTTATTTCGGAGGAGCAGTATGGCTTCTTACCTGGAAGGAGGCCGGCGGACAGTGTCTCACTGATTGCGGACGTTGTGGAGGCGGCGAAGTGTAGAGACGAAGATTGGTATTTGCTATTGGTGGATTTTCAAAAAGCTTCGATTCCGTCTCACGCGAGTACCTGTTTGGCACAATGGAGAGAATGGGCTTCCCGCGGAGATTTGTGCAGTGGTGCGAAGGCCTTCATGCGGGCTCAACGACGAGGCTGTTGCTCAACGGATGGTTAGGAGATCCGGTAGCGGTCAGGAAGGGGGTGCGGCAGGGATGTCGTCTGGCGCCTTATCTCTTCCTCTGCGCGGTGGAGCCTCTCTGCCAGGAAGCGAAAAGAAGGAATCTCGGGATTAGTAACCCGTACGGGGAGAGGCTTGCATACCTGGGGTATGCTGATGACACCACGTTGGTGCTCAAGGGGAAAAGGCAGATCGGACGAGCGGTGAAGCTGCTGGACGAGTTCGGGGATCAATCGGGGCTTCGTGTAAACAATAACAAGTCCGCGCTGATGCCCCTGGGGAGGAACCTGCGCAAGAAGCCACAAGAAATCAGTTTTCAAATGGGTGCTGCCCGGGGAAGCGGAAAGGGTCCTGGGGGTGTGGGTCTCACCCTCTGGAGACGTGTCGGTGACTTGGGAAATCACCCTGGTGAGGGCGACGGCGGAGCTGGTGAAGTGGCAGATTCACTACCTGACTACGTCAGGCAGGGTCGCAGTGGTCAACGGGTACATCAACCCGATCCTCGCCTTCCAGGCGCAGGTCTATCCCCCTCCAGTTGAGATCTGGGCAAAGCTGGTGAAGCTGCTTCATAATTTCGTCACCGGTAATCACTCGACGGCAGGAAAGCAGTTTGCGCTTTGGAGCCAGGAGCTGTTGTTCAAAGAGTGGGGAGAAGGTGGCCTCGGTGTCCGGGACCCGTGTGCTGAGCTGGGGGGCCTGGCGGCCAAGAGGGTCGCGCTGCTGGCGGCACAGCCGCTGGGGCTGCGTGCTGATCTTGCGTTTGCAGCGCTGGATGTCCCGGACCTTCAGGTCTTCTGGGCGCACACGGGGCTGATAAAGCAGTGGGAAGGGAGGTGTACGAGGTGGAAGCGGACCTGCAAGCTGTTTTTGGAGTCTAGCTTCCCCTCGTGCATCAGCGTGTCGTCGGTGTGGGACGTGGAACAGGAGCTGCTACTTTTTAATCGGAAGCTGCTTCTAAACGGGAGGACACCTGCTGGACGGCAGAAGGCGGCTAAAGTTCTGAAGCAGTCAAACATGAAGGATCTAATCAGGGTTGTCGTGGACGGCTCGAGAGCTCTTAAGGACACCCAGGAGCTCGAGCGGGAATTCGGGGGTTCGGCAGGTGCGAAGCTGGCGAAGAGGGTTTTCGACGCTGCCCCGGATGAGTGGAAGCAGTTGCTGCTGGCGCCTGTCACGGCGCATACGGTGCTAGCTGCCTCCAAGTTCGTGTTGAAGGCAGGGACGAGCCACGGGGTCTGGAGAATTGAATGTGTGGAGGGGGAAACCCTAGTCTGCCGAGCTATCGGTTGTGTTCGGGGGGTATTGGGGGACGCGGAGGAGAAGCTGCGCAACTTCCAGCCGCGTGAGGTGATACCTGCGGTGGTCAGGGAGGGTCGCTTTCTTGGCCCTGCAGGCGCCTCCAGAGCGAGGTTGCTATGTTCGCCCATCTAGGATGGGGACCGCCCGACGCAACTGAAGCGGTTGGAGGGGTTAAAGCGGTGTGGCGGAAAGCCGAAGCAGCAAACCACTTGGGAGGAGTCTATTGGCCGTCAGATTGACTGGAGAAGGGTGCTCGACGTGAGGGACTCAATGGCCCTTCCGATTCGTGCGCGGGACGTGATGCTCCGGATCCACAGTCGGAACCTGCAGGTGGGGGAGCGGTTACACTTCCTGGGTTCTGGTGTCGCGTGCCCGCATTGTGGGGAGAGAGAGACGCTGGAGCACGGGCTGTTTCTCTGCCCACGTATCCAGCCGGTGGTTCGGGCATTACTGAAGGCGCTCCGCATGCTGAATCCGCATCGGAAAATCGAGTCGCTGGGGGACTTGGTTTTCAAGAAGGAGGGGACAGCTTCGGGCTTCCTCGAGGCTACGATTACAGCGATTGCGCTTCACCGAATCTGGGTAGAGAGGTGTGACGCGGTCTTCGAACGTAGCAAGTTCCGAGCCAGGAGGGCACTGAGGAGGATCGCGGCGTCTTTCCAGCTGCATGTCAGAATCTACAAGCGTGCTAAGGCGGCATCTAAGAGGCTCGGCGCCACTCGTCCTGGTATGGATGATGAAGAGTGCCGGGTCTTGAGCCACATCCTCGACAACACAGCACAACCAGCCACGTGGTCTAAAGGGTTCATGGCCATCTGGTCCAACCCGGGGGCTGCTTTCCGTCCCCCTTAGAAGCTCAGGATGGGTACGGAGGGTATTATCCCCCTAGGCCCATCAGCTACAGTTACGACTGCCGATGTATTTTGCACTTTTTTAGTGTATTTTGCATTAAAAAAAAAAAAAAACTGCGTTAGTGTAATGGTGCGAGCTGCTCTGTCCTTGGTAATCTGCAGGCCAAGGTAGCACGGCAACTCACCAAGGTTAGTGCAAGTGTGTCTCCTCTGTAGTACATCCTTCATGGAGGCTATTGCGCGTCTGTCAGGAGTGGCAAAACCCAGGTCGTCAACGTAAACCAAAACAAAGAGCGGGGTCGAGCCACGGCGGATGAAAAGTGACGGGTCTGTAGACGACGGGAAATAAGTCAAGCGCCGCAAGAGTCGTGTGAAGTGTGTCGTGCCACTCACAGGGAGCCTGGCGCAGGCCGTAGATCGGTCGATGCAGCTGCCACTAGGTCCCAGGAGGAAATGACCCAGTGAAGCCAGGGGGGCGACGCAGCCAGATCTGCTCGTGCAGGCTCCCCTGAAGAAACGATGTGGAGAAGTCTAAGGAGTGCAACTCGTAGTCGCACTGAGCTGCGATATGCATCAGCACAGCAGTACCCGAAGAGTGGTCATCTTCGGGGTGGGAGCGAAGGTCTGAAAGAAGTCTACCCACTCGCGCTAACTGAAGCCTCTCGCCACATAGCGTACCTTAAACACCGGTGGTGATCGAGGCCGCAACATGCCATTGACGACGTTCGTCCCACGTAATGGGACGGCGTCGACGTAGGTGCTTGTGTACCAATACGATGCCATCTCTGCCTCCTCAGCTACTATCCAGTACGAGGCCAGGGTCCCGAAACTCCCTCGGCGTGAGTGCGAGGGATCGGGATGTCAAGGGTGTCTGGATCCCCCTCAGGGCAATGCATCATGGCGAAGAGATGGGGAACACAGTCGCAAGAAAACCAAACTCGAACTGTCTGTCCTTGAAGACCTCCAGGGAAAAGTGTGAGGATCTTAGGATCGAGCTCAGAAAAGAGAATTCGAATTGAATGTTTCACCTGGGTACAAGGCAAGGCTATATATAGGCTCGACACAAGGCAGGTAACCAGGTGTTACGCGAAGGTTCCGAGGGTCGCGAAGCGTCCCGAACAGGCCCTTCCCGAATTCGGTAGAAGGCAATTCGGTGGCAACCGAAAAGCCTAGAATTCGGTGCACTCAACCTAGTTCGGTGCCTATAACTATAATAAATATAGTAAAAGCAACGAACCTAGGAAATCTAGCAAAAGCAAGCAAAATAAAGCAAAGCTAAGCTAGATAATGCATAATAAAGTAAAGGCAAGCTAGCAAAGCCAGCATAAGCCGTCATACTCTCACAGAAAGACAGGAGCACCCCCAGAGAACGGAGAACGAGCAGGGCCACTCACCAGGTGAGCGGCGTAGTCAAGGCGGTGGGAAGAGGCAAAGCCAGCGATAGTGGTAACATGAGCTGAGACAGACAACAGAGGTGCAGTCAAGTGAGTGACCAACGCGGACAAAACACGGGAGACGACATGATGGGAAGCATGGGGGTAGTCGGACAACGGGTCGGGAAACACAGTGAGGGACGACTCAGAAAACTGTGGTCAGACTGGAGGAGGTGGAACACGAGAGCGGAGAACAAGGTGAGATGGGCCGTCTGCACGATAACGAGATCGACAGGGCTTAGGAGACATAGCTCGACTGAGGGGAGAATGACGAGTCCACAGGGACGAGGAAAGGGACTCGACAGGGGGAACAGGAACCAGGAACCAAGCGTGCAGGTGCATGGTCAAGCAAGTCGCGCAGTTGTTGCTGCTCCGCCTCCTCTTGCATCTGTTGCAACGGCACCTACCCCTGCTGCTGCTCCTGTGGCTCCTCATCTGCCCTCTCCTGCTGCAGTTGCAGCTGTGCCTCATGCTGCGAACGGGACTCCTACGCTACCCTCTCCTGCTGCAGCAGTGGCTCCTCCTTTACTCTCTCTTGCTATGTCTGCAACTGCACCTGGTGCTGTTTGCAGGATTCCTGCGCTACCATGTCCTGCTGCGGCCGTGACTCCTCCTCTACTCTCTCCTGCTGTGTCTGCAACTGCACCTGCTACTGCAGGCAGGACTCCTGGTTTGCCTCTCCTGCTACGGCCGCGACTCCTCTACTCTCTCCTGCTATGTCCGCAACTGCACCTGGTGGTACGGGCGGGACTCCTGCTCTGCCCTCTCCTGCTGCGGCCGTGACTCCTCTAATCTCTCATGCTGTGACTGCAACTGCACCTGCTGCTGTAGTCGTGACTCCTCCTCTGCCCTCTCCTGCTGCAGCTGCAACTGCACCTGCTGCTGCAGTCATGGCCTCTCCTTTACTCTCCCTTGCTGCTGTGGCTGGTACTCCTGGACTTGACCCACTGCCCAACAGGTGACATGGAAGCTGATTCCCTCACGAAGCGATTGCCAGGTCAGCAGTGTTAGCAAAACTCCGAGCTCAGCGGAGCAATCAATCGGGTCAAGTCGAGCTACGGTCAGGAGTGAAGGGGGGTGTTACGAATGGTAAACTTAAGAAAAAGGCGCTATGCACTCCTGACAGTAGCAAACGAAGCACATACTATCTAGGATGGAAAACGAAGAGTCAGAAATGATTCAAGCAACGTAAACAGTTGGAGAGCATCTGGACCATCGAATCAGACAGCATCGATAGCTGCAGGAGCAAGGAAAATCGTTGGAACAGTTTTCGTAACTGTACGCGCCGCACGGTTGGGTTTGAATTCGAATAAGGAAATGTACCCCTTAGAGTACATGGCTAGCTAGAACGTTCTGTATTCCCTTGTACTCATATTTATATGTTTGTATATGCATGCTTTTATAATCTTAACCATTTTACATTCACTATGATTTGAGGACAAGGGCCCACCACTACCATACACATTGTGCGAACCTTCCCCAGGTGATCCTGGTTATGATCCACTTGTTCAAATTAGGAGATACTAGGGCTTAGGACTTTGGTTTAGATGGCGTGTGAGAGCAGGCAAAAGAGGTTTAAACTAAAGGGCCAAAGGCTTGGGTTATATAGGAATAAAAGTTAGGAGAGGTGCACCACCTAACAGGAAAGATGACTACACGAGGTTATGCTACAGGCAGTTAATACAAATATATATTATTTAACATACCCCCAAACTGCATGCAGAAACACCCCCTAAAGGGGTACAGCAAATGCAGCGGAAGTAGGAGAAGGCAAGTGAGGAGGAGGAGGGACCATGATAGGAGAGGAGGTGGTGGGCGGCAGCTGAAGCTACTGGCACACGGGCAACTGGAGCAATTGGCACATGGACAACTGGAGTAACTGGCTCTGCGGCTAGACGAGCGGCTAGAGCAACGGACTCACGGGCGACTGGAGCAACGGGCTCACGGGCGACTGGAACAATGGGCTCACGGGCAACTGGAGGTGTTGGCTTCACAGCGGCCCCCCCCCCTTTCAATTTCCCCTCCTCCTCCCCAAACCTTCCCCCACGGAAACAAAGAGGAGAGAGGGAGGGAGGAGGCGGCTGGTGCTGCAGGTCTCCTCCTGCCACCCCCTTAACCTCCATTATCTGCCCCCCCCCCATCACCCTTCACCCCACAGGCGCAGGCAACCCTACCGCCACTACCCCGACCCCCAACACCCTCACCCCCCCTCCCCCTCTTCTGCTGCATGCGCAGCAGAGAGAGGGAGAAGAAGGAAGGCGGAGTAGAGGCTGCAAATGCGGCTGCAGATTCGTGTGTAGCTGCGCGTGCAGCTGCGCGGACTGTAGTCACCGCGTGCGCAGCTGCGCATAGCTGCAAACATGCGCAGGTGTAGTACGCGCGGCAGCGCATAACGACGGGGGGAGGGGGTGACGGGAAGTGGGCGACGGGGCCACGGTTGACGAGGCCATGGCGCGACGAAAAGGTGCGGTATATGGGGGGGGGGGGGGGGGGGGGGGAGGACGAAACGGCGTGGGGCGACGGGGGGACGTGGGGCGACGAAACGGCGCCGGTGCAGCGTGGCCGCGAGCTACGGTTAAACTGTAGTTTTTGCTAGCGATTTTGCGAGCGCATGCATGCACGTGTTGGCGGGTCGCTGGCGGGTGGGATGACGAGCTCGGTAACGGGGCGTGCCATAGCGACAGTGCAGGGCCCAAAATTGGTTTTGGCCCACCCTGTCAAATCAGAGTTCCAGGGTGGACCAACCCTGACTCCTAGGGTAAAAAATCTGGTACAGTGATGGAAACAAGGTAAAAATAAAGTTAATCTGATTACCTAGCGTATAAAAAACAAACACGAATTTCTTATCGTGAGTGGAAGTGTTTCAGCTAGTTAGGGATGTTGATGCGACTGGGAAGGTAGTGGGTTCGATACTGTAGACGGGAGATTATCGCTGTTTTGCGTAACATCCACTGTATCCTCGCTACGAATACTCGGTATTTCTGTAACAGGGTTAAAACACTTATTAAGGTAACAGGAAACAATCGCTAACTCGGATTTCATAAGGGTATAAAAATCGTAACTCTTTTTGAGTCAGGGTAAGAAATCCGGAAGGCTGACTGGGTCAGGGCAACCCCAAAAAAAGCGGCCGCCAGTCAGGGCAATCAGGGTATTTTACCCTGACATTTTGGGGCCTGCGACAGTGGTTGGTGGGCCAATTGAAAAGGAAATAGGTCCTAGATCGGGACCTGCTCGGATAGCATGTTGAGATTAGGAGATACTAGGGCTTATGAATTTGGTTTAGATGGCGTGAGAGAGTAGGCAAAAAGGGTTTTAAAGCGCTAGTATACATTTGTCAGCGAGGTTTAGGGTTTATAAGTGGGCCTCACAATTCTGGGGCAACTTTTCAAGTTCCTAAGGAGCTTGAACCCCTCCTTTTAAATGTATACCGGAGCTTTAACTAAAGGGCCAAAGGCCCGAGTTATACAGGAATCAAAGCAATGAGAGGTGCACCACCTAACATGAAAGATGACCACACTAGGTTATGCTATATGCATTTAATGTAAATATATATTATTTAACACTCCTTTTTATCGCAGCAAAAAGCACGCTCCTTCATGTTATGAGCTTCTTTCTATCAATACCGTAGTTAACTTCCTAGTCTAGCATTCATGCTCCACTCTTTAGTTCCAATGTACACTTCCACTATTGATGAATATCCGTCAACTGAATATTCTTGTAATCGCGTCGCGACACAAGCACAACCTTTGCTGGCAGTAGTTGCGGGATTTTCAGGAGGGTAAGTCCAGCGCAGGTCCAGGTGTCCCCGCCTTCGCGGACATCTTGGAGTTGTCTCATTTCCGATTCGTCAAATTGTCGGTTGATTTTTTTGGCCTGCTGCCATGACTTCCTCTCTGTCCAATCACCACTGTCAAGCGCGAGCGCTTCGAATTGTTTTCGCTGGGGTCGTGTTCCACATGGTTGCTGCTTGCTCACGCGCTGGAGAGAGGCTGGAGAAATCGATGGCGACTGGAGAAATCCAGGCGCTGGGGAATCGGTGGCTGGAGATTCTCAGGGGACCTTTCTGCATCAGATAGAACTTTCGGCATTGGACACTTGCTGACGTTCTCCCAACGTTCTCAGGCTTGCTTCTCTTTCTTCTGCTTCCATCACTCTCCACGACGGCATGGCATCGTTTCTTACTCGATCGACCTCCGCTTATGTCTGATCGAGGTCGCTCCCGTGCGATCGCCGCATTTTAAAGCAGCCATAGTGTACATTGTAACCACGTCCACAAACGTTCCTCGGAATCAACCTCATCTCACTCATCACCGCGGCGCGACCGCACGAACTTATCGTCGTTCTACTCGCTGATCCACCTCGTCATAGAGTAGCCGTTGCGAACGAACCGCGCCGGACCGAGCCAATGAGTCGACAGGTCGCAAGAGCCCTGTTGGGCAGAGCAGAGCCTCTCCTGCAGCGCCACGTGGCCTGCAGCGGAGGAGGCAGCAGCCCCGCAATAACTACCTACATTGGTAACGGTCACCGCCATGCGTGCGGCCGCTTTAAACCCCCAGTGCTGCCCGTCAATGCCAACCCGATGCTCTCGCCATCGTACGGCGCTCGGCGCTTCTCCTCCTCCGCCTCCGCTGACTCCGTTCCGAAGCACAAGCCTGATCTGGTCAGTATCTGATCTGGTCAGTATCTGATCTGGACAGTATATACTCTTGTTCCACTTGGGCTGAACGCGTCTACCTTTCGCGCGTCTACATTTCGCGTGTGTACCTTTCGCACATCGTATCGGGCTGGATGCATTTTCATTGCTCTAGTAGCCAGGCCCGTTGTTATGCAAACTGCCCCTCCTTTCACGCAACTGCTCCAGCTGGTATCGTCTGGTCCTCCGCTCGTCAGCCATCACGTAAAGTCGTCAACTTGCAACGACGTTGCTTTAACTTCATTTCCAATATCACATTTTTTTTCTTCGTCTTCCTCCCCGCAGCTGCGCATTCTCGCCGCGTGCGCGATCGGATCGAGTGCCGCCGCGGGCATTGCGGTAGCCACCATGGACCCCAAGGCCGTCAGGTGCGACTCGCGGGTGGTTAACCGGCTATGCTCGTTACCGTTAAAAAGAGTTGCGGTACGTTGTCGCAGCCACGGCCATGGATCCCAAGACCTTCAGGTGCGACTCGACCGACGTGATGACACTGCTACTGTGATGACTTTCGGCGGGCACTACCATTTTTCGCCACGGATACAACATTTTAGAAGCTCAAAAATTGCGCTTTTCAATTTCCTTCACGAAGTTAAACCTCGTGCTGCCCTGCATTCCCTCCCCCCCCCTTTGCAATCCCCCAGCGCGCTCTCATTCGCAGCAATAGACTCCATGACGCTATTCATCCGCCTCCTTTGACCTGTTCTTGTGCCTCCCTTTTCTTTTCCCTCCCGAAATCATGTTCCCATGTCCTTCCCCCATGCCCCTCCCCCCGATGCCCACCCCAGCGCGCTCTCCTTCGCAGCCACGGACTACATGACGCCATTCATCCGTCTGCTCGACCCCGAGACCTCGCACCAGCTGGCCGTTCTCTCAGGCGAGTGGGGCCTCACGCCGCGCGACTACCGCCCCGACCCGCCCTCCCTCGCGACGACAGTCTGGGGGCGCCGCTTCAGCAATCCCGTGGGCATGGCGGCGGGGTTTGACAAGGACGCGCGCTGCGTTGATTCCATGTTCGCACTCGGTCTTGGCTTCACCGAGATTGGGAGTGTCACGCCGCTTCCCCAACCTGGCAACCCTAAACCCCGCTGCTTCCGCCTCACAGAGCAAAAGTGAGAGTCCTAAATCCGAAACCTTGAACCCCGCACTCTAGAGGGGTTTGACAAGGATGCGCGCTGTGATTAGCCCTCGGGTTTAGCCGTAACTTGCTTTACCAAGATTGGAAGTGTCACGCTGCTGCCGCAGCCTGGAAACCCCAAAACCAGCTGCTTTAGGCTCTCAGAACCCTGAACCCTTAAACCCTGGAGGGTTCAGAGAAGGCCACTCGTGTTGACTTCCATGTTTGCACTCAGGAACTTCAAGACCTATCTCGTTTGACCCTAGGTGTAGAGGTAGGTGTTTGCCTTAAAGCCCTGAACAGTGAGGGGCCTATCTTCTTAGCTAGCTCGCCAGCTCGCCCAATCAGCCCTCCCATGCTCCTGCTCCACCCAGTCCCCCCTGATCTACCCCGTCCCCCCTGCTCCACCCTTCTCCTCCTCCCCCTTCCCCCCACCCGCTACAGGGCCGTGATCAATCGGTACGGCTTCAATAGCGCGGGAATTGCTGACGTGGCGGAGAGGCTCGGCGTGTGGCAGGCTCGGCGGCAGCATCGGGCAGCGCAGGAGCAGAAACGGACGGCGGACGGGCAGGCGCCGAAAAAAGAAAACGTGGTGGAGGAGAGAGTGAGGGACGGAGTGCTGGCGGTGAATCTGGGGAAGAACAAGACGAGCGAGGATGCGGCGGGGGACTATGTGAAGGGCGTGCACGCGCTGGGGCAGTTCGCTGACGTGCTGGTGGTGAACGTGTCCTCGCCCAACACGCCCGGGCTGAGGAAGCTTCAGGGAAGGTCGCAACTGCAGGAACTGCTGCAGCGGGTGAGTGGGCGGGGGAATGGGGGGGATAAGGGAGCTTGGGGGTAAGTGACTTGGGAGAGAGTGAGTGAGTGAGGGGTTATCGAGTGAGTTGGGAGGGAGTGAGTGAGAGGGCCGAGATTGTTAATGGAGGGTAGGAATGGGGAACGATCGATTGGTGACTAGAGGGATCGTACTGACTGCTAAGCCAGCGTGCTCCTTTGTAGAACTCTTTTACAAATGAATCCTCCCAGCTCTGCTGCCACTCAGCTTGGTGGCTGATTTTCCGCCATAGCATTCCTGTCTCCTGCTCTCCTGCCCTCCTCGTAACGCCCATGACCTCCTGGACTCTCTCTGCTTGGCACCGCAAGTAGCACTTGTAGGTGGAATCAAGAGCACTGTCCACTCGTCGACTCATGCGCTATCTCCCTTCCCTCTCCCTTTGACCTCTCCCTGCCATCTCCCTTTGACCTCTCCCTGCCAGGTGCAAGCAGCACGGAATGAGATGGAGTGGGGCAAGGAGGGTCCGCCCCCTCTGCTGCTCAAGATAGCCCCTGATCTCACCACCGAAGACATGGCGGATATTGCTGCTGTCGCCCTTTCGCTCAAGATTGACGGACTGGTATGTTAACGAGTGTGATTATAGTGAGGTTGGAGTGCATTGGGAGAGACTTTTCTGAAAACAACCCCTACTCTGACCACATGATATACGGACGTAGGATATTGCTGCTGTAGCCCGCTTCCCCAAGATCGACAGACTGGTATCGTATGGTATGTTACCGAGGATGAAGTGCACAATAAATGGTGTCATGAATTTTTAAGCCCGACTCAAGAATAGTGAATGCAACCCAACTGAGACCCCCTCCCATCCGCTTTTCCCAACAACCATCTCCTGTCGCCCTTCACCCACACCAGGTGGTGAGCAACACCACCATCTCCCGCCCTTAGAGCATCCTGGGCCTGGCTTTTGAGGCACCTAAAAAAATCTTGAGGCGGCTCAAAAGTCAAAAGTTTTGAGGCGCCTTTAAAACCATTTCGTGCCCCCCTCCACACATACCAGGTGGTGAGCAACGCCACCATCTCCCGCCCTGACAGTGTCCTGGGCCTGGTGAATTCTTGAGGCGCCTCAAACCATGAGACGATTCTTTAGGCGCGTCAAAAACAGCATCCTGGGCCTGGTGAACGCGGACGAGAAAGGGGGCCATCTTCCATATCTGCACCCCCACCCCTCCCCACCGCTCTCCACCCCCGTTCACCCAGACCAGGTTGTGCTCAACACCATCTCCCACCCTGACAGCGTTTTGGGCGTGGTGAATGCGGACGAGGTGGGGGACGGGTCTCCCAAATTAACCTCACCTCTCCCCACCCCTCCTCACCCCTCTCGACCCCTCTCCACCGCTTCCCATCCAGACCAGGTGGTGAGCAACACGACCATCTCCCGCCCAGACAGCAGTCTGGGCCTGGTGAATGCGGACGAGGAGGGGGGCACTCCCATGTTTGCACCCCCGCCCTTTCTACCCTTCTGCACCTCTTTCCACCCTTCCCCGCCTACACCTGGTGAGCAACACCACCATCTCGCGCCCTGACAGCGTCCTGAGCCTGGTGAACGCGGACGAGGTGGAGGGGCAATTTCCAATATTTTGCATCCCCACTCCTCCCCACCCGTCCCTACCCCTCTTGACCCCTCTCCACACCCACCAGGTGGTGAGAAACACCACCATCTCGCTGCCAGACAGCGTGCTGCGCGTGGTGAATGCGGACGAGGTGGGGAACCATCTTCCATATCTGCACCCCCACTCCTCCCCACCGCTCTCCACCCCCCTTGACACCCCACCAGGTGGTGAGCAACACGACCATCTCGCGCCCGGACAGTGTCCTGGGGGTGGTGAATGCGGACGAGGTGGGGGGCCTCAGTGGCAAGCCCCTGTTTGAGCTCTCCACTGCTGTGCTGCGCCAGATGTACTCGCTCACTAAGGTGCGTTACTTGATGTACTCATCACGCGCTCACTTTTGGCGTCTAACACCCCTCCCCCATAAACTCCCCCTCCTCATCTCTCACAGTCTATTGCTTTATGCTGCCCCTCTCTCTCGTCCTCCCCTTCTCCTCCTCCATCAAGGTCCTACACGTCACCCACTGCACTCTACCTCGCGCTTCACCCCACTCACTTATTCTATTCTCTCACCCCTCACTGTCACTCACCTTCCTCCATTCCATCAGGGTCGAATCCCCATCATCGCCTGTGTTGGCATCTACAGGTCCCTCTGTGATCACTCACAATCGCTCACTCCAACCCAATTCTCTCTTGTCCTCTTTTCCCTTTCCTACTTCTCCTCCCTCTCCTCCCTCAGGGTCAAATCCCCATCATCGGCTGTGGTGGCATCTACAGGTATCTATTCCTTTCCCTCCGTCCCAATCCTTCCATTCTTCTTCCCATTCTCCCTCCAACCCTCCAACACATTACGCTCCCTCTCTCTCCCACACACTCCACTTCCCTCCCTTCCTTCTCCCACACCACCTCTAATAAATCCCTCCCCTCTTATCTCATGCATCATACACCCCTGACCCACCACCATAGGATTTTCACCTCTGTCTATCATATGAGTCAAGTCAGATGTTCCTCATTTCTGTTTTTGCGATGGTTCAAGACTGTGCGCCACAACACCTGCCCCACCACCATGAGATAATCACAACTTAGTTGCCACTAGGTTCAATTCGTGCTCTTCATTTCCCTCTTCCTCCACCACCCCACCCAATCTAGCCAAGGCACCTCATGACGTGTTCGCCTTATCGTTTTAAGTTATATTTATGTAACCTCTCTTTGTTCCCATCATTCCCCTGCATCCCTGGTACAGTGGCGAGGACGCTTATAAGAAGATCCGGGCAGGGGCCTCATTGGTCCAGCTGTACACCTCCATGGTCTTTGAGGGAGCTGGAGTGGTGCCGAAAATCAAGGTGAGTCAAGCCAAGTCGAGGCGAGACAAGCGAATCCAATGAGACAAAGCAGGCTGCTCTGGGCCCAGAATAGTGTTGTCATGCTCATGCTCTCAAACCCGGGCTGAAGTTGAGTGTGGGAGCATCCGTGGAGTGGGCTATGCTCATTTTACTCTCAACGGTTTCCCTTTCATTCTCTTTTCACAAGCTGCTCACATCTTTACTTCCCCATACTCTTCCCCTCACTTTTCCTCTCCTCTCTCTCCCCACTCCTCCTGTCCTCTCATTACCTGATTTGCATCCTCCCTATCGGCAGAAAGAATTGGCGGAGTGTCTTGCTCGCGATGGATTTGCGTCAGTGGCAGAGGCTGTGGGGGCGGATCACAGAGAGGCGAGCAAAGGATTGTAGCATGTTGAATTAGCGGGCACCACCAAGACGGGGTTCATTACAATGAGCCTTTTCATGTGCGGCCAATAAATGCAATAGCAGGTTGAAATTGGTGTGGTTAGGTATCCTGGACGACGTCTCTGTTAGTGTCATCCAATATGATGTGGTTAGGTAGCCTGGTCTTGGAAAAGAACTGTTCTCGGCTAGCATCAGCACAAATCCTAACCGAAAGCCCCCAAAAGTGTGGCTATTGCTACATAATCTGAATCCGGAACTTTAATACACTAACTAGTGTCAAATTATATGTTTGTTATATATGTTTAGGCCGTAGTGGGATAGCCAATATGGGGTACAACCCCATTAGGGTTTCATATTTGTACCAAACCCTGATCTAGTCATTCTCATTCCTGTCTCTAGTTTCTGACATGGTTTCAGAGCAGTAGGTCCGTAGGATCGTTGTTTTTCGGGCCCACCTACCGCTACCCCACGACTGCGACTGTGCCTGTGACGTGCTGCGCTGCGCGCGCCGTCTGCCTGCTGCCTGCTGCCTACTGTCTGAGCTGTCTGCTGCTGCTTCGCGCGCGCAGACCTAATTCCCGCGCGCTGCCCGCTTTTGCCCCGCGCGTCGCCCTCCCTGCTCGCGTCGCGCCTCGGCAACTCGCGAGCGGCCCGCTGCTGCCCCGCGCACTGCACGCGCAGCCCGCGCCGAGCCCGCGCAGCCCGCGCGCGGCCCGCAGCTGCCCCGCGCACCGCCCGCGCAGCCCGCGCGCGGCCTGCAGCTAAACCGCGCACCGCACGCGCAGCCCGCCCTGAGCCCGCGCAGCCCGCGCGCGGCCTGCAGCTGCCCCGCGCACCGCCCGCGCAGCCCGCGCCACGCCTCGACAGCCCGCGCGCGGCCCGCCGCAGACCTGCGCGCCGCCCTACCTGCTCACGCCGCGCCTCAGCAGCCTGCGCGCGGCCTGCTGCTGCCCTGTCCGCTGCCTGCAGCTGCTTTGCATAGTCTCTCTTTGCCTGCTGACTATACCTACTGCCTTTGCCTGCACTGAGATTATGGCGACGCTTAATGTTCTCGCGTTTGAGCCTGACGGTCGCCCGATAGAGTTCGCCACGTGGCTCGACGATCTCCAACTGTTCCTCAAGACTGATGCCAAAGACGGCGTTTCACAATTCGATCACACGTCTGGCACTGCCGTTGCTCCTGCTGACGATGCTCCTGCTCTCGACCGCTCACAGTGGCAGACTGGCGACGCTGCTGCGCGCCTCGCTATTCGCAATCATCTGCCGATCACTGAGCGCGCGCATTTTAGCCAGCACAAGACTGCTAAGGCACTGTACGACGCTGTAGTTGCGCACTACTCCTCCCCGGCCACGGCAACATTAGGTCGTCTCATGCTACCGTACCTTTTCCCAGACCTGTCCTCGTTTACCACCGCTGAGGACCTCATCTCTCACCTTCGCGCTAGTGACACTCGCTTTCAAGCCGCCCTTCCAGCCGAGTTCCGCGCCGAGACCCCCCCCCCCCCTATATACTTCACTCTCTACTTCCTCGTCACCCGCCTCCCTGACACTCTTAGCTCAGTCAGGGACCACTTCCTCACCCTAGACCCTACCACTCTCACTGTCGCCGACTTCGAGAAGCACCTCCTAGCAGTTGAAAAGAATATTTTCGTTGTAGGTGCTGCTCGTGGCACTCCCAGCACTCGCCTGTTTGAGCAGTGCTCCCCCTCCCCTCTTGCCCCCTCCTACGCCTCTGCTGCTGCTGCTGTCGACTTCCTTGGTGCTAAGAAGGTCGCAGCTGCTTCCACTCCTAGTGGGAAGCGCAGCGGCTCCAGGGGAGGCAGGGGCGGCAGGGGAGGTGGAGGTGGCGGTGGAGGGGGCGGTGGTGGAGGCGGCGGGGGAGGTGGAGGTGGTGGGAGTGGTCGTGGAGGTGGAGATGGTGGTGGGGGCGGCGGTGGTACCGGGAGCAGTGGCGGTGGCAGCGGCGGTGGTGGCGGAGGGGGGAGTGGTGGTGGCAGTGGCGGTGGGGGCTCCAGTGGTGGCCAGGGGCAGCAGCAGCAGCAGCAGCCGCAGCAGCAGCAGCAGCAGCAGCGTCAGCGCCAGACCCCCTCTTCCCAGCAGCTTCATGACTGGTATGCTGGGCGTGGGGCGTCTGGGGGTCCTGGTCGCTGCCCCTATGTCATTTGCGCAGGTCCCCACGCTGGTCGCACATGCAACGGCTTTCACACTGAGTACCGCTGCTTCGCTCGGCTTAGCGACGCCTGGCGCGCCAAGTTTCCTGAGGCTACTGAGTTCCCCAACTGGGCAGATCTGCTTAGGCGTGATGTTCCTATCTTTGATCTTGACTATGATGCTATTCTTGCTGCCATGTATGCATTGACTGTTAGTGCTGAGGGTGACTGCTACTTGTGTATGCCGCCTGATCCAGGTATAGAGGCTGCAGCCCTAGGTGCCAGTGAGTCTGCTGTCCCCTGGTACTGCGTTAGCCCAGGCCTTGTTCTCTACACACCATTGGGTTGACACACTCCTGAGTGTGTGGCGATCTGGTGACTGGCCGCCACCTCCACGTTCACCCGTGAGCCTGGGTTCTGTACACCCTCACCACTTGTCGCGATCTCCTCAGCTGTACGCGTCTGCTCAGGTAGCTACCCAGTGTGAGTGCCGCCGCCTGTCGCACGACACTCTCTTGTGGCACCACCGCCTTGGTCACCCCTCCCTGCCCCGCCTTCGTGGCATGCACTCTCGCTCCCTGATCTAAGGTCTTCCCAGGACTCTGCCCGCCCTCCCTTACTCGCCTGCGCCGCCCTGCATTCCTTGTGTCGAGGGGCGGCAGCGCGCTGCTCCTCACTCCTCCTCGTTCCCTCCCAGAGAGGCTCCGCTCCACCTGGACGTGTGGGGCCCAGCCCGCGTCCAGGGGCAGGGCCGCGAGCGGTACTTCCTGCTGGTTGTCGACGACTACACGCGTTACACCACGGTCTTCCCCTTGCAGCGCAAAGGGGATATCCCTGCTGTTCTGATCCCTTGGATCCGCGCTGTTCGTCTCCAGCTCTGCGAGCGGTTCGAGTCGAAGGACTTTCCTATCCTGCGTCTGCACTCTGACAGAGGTGGTGTGAGGATCTAGGATCTAGTTTAGAAAAGAAGTTCTGAATTGAATGATCACCTGGGTACAATACGAGGCTATATATAAGTTCGACACAAGGCCTAGTAACCAGGTGTTACGCGAAGGTTCCGAGGGTCGCGAAGCGTCCCGAACAGACCCTTCCTGAATTCGGTAGAAGGCAATTCGGTGGCAACTGAAAAGCCTAGAATTCGGTGCACTCAACCTAGTTCGGTGCCTATAACTATAATAAATATAGTAAAAGCAACGATCCTAGGTAATCAAGCAAAAGCAAGCAAGCTAGCAAAGCCAGCATAAGCCGTCGTACTCTCACACGTCCCCCCCTCAAAGCTGGGTGGCGTGAAATACAACGTGCTTGACAAGATAGTCCTTGAGAGCACGGCGTGCGTTGCCCATATCAGCTTCTGCAACCCAACTGTCCTGATTGGGGTCGTATCCCTTCCAGCGTATCAGGAACTCGAGGGTCTTGCCGCCGCGGCGCCGATGATTGATAATGCGCTTAATCTCGTACTCTGGTTCATCCTGCACAAGTACAGGTGGTGGTGGCGGTAGCTGCCGTCCCTGGAACTGTTGGTTGGGGTCCTTGTAGGGTTTCAGTAGCTGAACATGGAAAGCATTGTGAAGCTTCCACGTATGTGGTAAGCGCAAGCGGAATGAAACTGGCCTCCACGAGAAAAGGACCACAGAAGCGAGGCCAGAGTTTGGATGGTAGGTGAGACAGGTTCAAGTTTCACGTGTCAAGAAGCACCTGATCTCCGACTGCTACTGAGTGATCTCGTCGCTGGCAATCGGCATACTGCTTCTGGGAGTTCTGCATCGTGGTGAGACGCCGCTGAGTCTTCTTCCATAGCTGCTGCATGGTGGTGACAAAGTCGTGTGCGGCTTGGACGTGTGCTGGTGTGGTTGGCTGCTGTGGTGTGAGTGGTTACCGTCCGGAGAACAGAAAGAATGGAGATTTCCCTGTGGCCGCATGCGACGCGTTGTTGTAAGCGAACTCAAGCGTCGGTAACTGTAGATCCCAGTGTCAGAAGAACTAGGCAAGAATGGTGCATTGAATGAAACAGTTGGGTACAAGTAGCAAACCCTAGTTGGGGTTGTACCCCATATTGGCTACCCCACTACAGCCTACAAGCATAATGCAGTTTAACACACCCCCATAGGCAAAGTGGGGGAGAACAAAGGGTCACAAGACCAGTCCAGCAAAGCAAAGCAAAGCCCAGGGTGGATCACAACGTCACCACACTCCGAGCACAAGTAAAGGCCACAAGGCCAGTTCACATGCAGTGCTAGATATAGTACAAGACAAGCAACACAGTGATCAAAACCTAGCAAGCAAGCAACAAGATATATATAAAGTACAGTACAAAGAATGTCAAGCAGTGAGCAAGTGAGGAAACGTGGACACAAGGCCTAAAGAAGTACAGTGCCGCTGATGATCACTAGGCGGGAGCGCCTTGGTGAAGATATCAGCAGTGTTGGCCTTCGAGTCCACGTACACAAGCCGAAGCTGACCGCGCTGCTGAAGCTCTCGAGCAAGAAAGTAGCGAAGAGCAATGTGCTTCGTCCTGTGCTCCAGTCTGTGCTCCTGACACAAGGCAAGAGCCGCCTTGTTGTCACCGTACAGAACTGGAGGAGAACTAGGCCGCTCTCCCAAGTCAGTCAGCAGGTAGGTGAGCCAGCGTAACTCCTGTGCAGCCATGGCTGTGGCGTAGATCTCAGCCTCACAACTAGAGCCGAGAACAGAGGAAGAGCGGGTGGACCGCCACGAGACAGAACCTGAGCCAAGGCTGAAGGTGTAACCCTGTGACGACCGCTGCGTAGCCAGGTCGTCCACCCAAGAGGCGTCCGAGTGACCAGTGAGGACAACTCTGTCGCGTCCTCCAAGCACCAGCCCCATGCCTGATGT